GGGGGATCCCCGCCGCGAGCGGCTCGAAATCCGCGAGACTCGCCATGTTCACCAAGCCGCTCATCACTGTGGACATGCTGCCGCCGCCGAGCGAGGTGTGTGTGTGTGTGTGTGTGTGTGTGAGGGAGTCACAACGCTTCACGCGCGGCGTGACAGCAAGACGCGTGAACCCTCCGTGTTTTGGTAACACTTTATTTTAAGGTGTCCCTGTTACACGTTACATGTACTTACTATTATAATAACAATATATTTTGAATAATTACTTGCAAGTAACCCTATGCCAAACCCTAACCATATACTAAGTACATGTAGTTAATTAATATTACTCAGTAGTGCTTAAATGTATAATTACACTGTGACAAAGACACCTTAAAATAAAGTGTAACCCGTATTTGTAGCTACTGTGTGTGAGAGTGAACGCACACATCAGTCTTCATACAGCAGCAGTGTTGGGGAGTAACTAGTTACATGTAACGGTATTGCGTAATGTAATCACAAAATAATCGGTTAAAGTTTCTGAGAAAATAATATGTAATTAACTTACAGTTTAAATGTTAACGATTACAAAGGATCACATCTGAATATTTATATCACACACAAACAGACTTAATCGACGTCTTTCCCAAATTGCATTGTCTGCTCTAAAATATGAGACACCGATGTTTCGGACACATGCTTATTCAATAACTGTTTTATTTCCTATTTGGGGAAATAAATAAATTTGGGGTTATGCTTTATGTTTTTTAAGCTTAACTGTTTGTGGTGGCTGTGCTTTAAAATGAAATTATTATAACCTTAATTCAAGCGATAAAGGATTTTGAAAGTGTGAGAGTAATCAGTGTTTTACTGTAACTGAGTAGTGGGTACTTTAATAAAGTAATTGAAATAGTTACACTACTTATTACATTTTAAATAGGGTAACTTGTAATCTGTAACCAGTTGCATTTCCAAAGTAATCTTCCCAACACTGCATATCAGTTTCTATTAATTGGGCTACAAATATCTATGTCTAGAACTGTATGAGTATGTTGGTCATGTCTACTTTAAGAATGTTACAAATATGTACTTGTATTATTACACATTTAATTTATTAACTAGCACTGTCCAGCAGAGTCATATTCCTGCATCAAAGAGGATTCGGTTCAGTTCAGTTCTGTGATCAAATTCCCATCACAATGTCATTTCCACCAAATGTCAGATTATGATTTGCGTTTGATAGCCTATCATTTTGTGATGGAAATGACATTTTAAAATAGCAGACTGCTTTGTATCGTTTAGAGCTAGAATGATATTGTAATTCAAGCTTAAAAACACTGATATGAATCACATTACATTTGACACAACAAATATCGAAATGGTTCATGCTTATTGCACTCTTTGTTTATGATGGTTTTAAACATTTAGGCCTATATAATTCATATTGTAATGACGTTTCATAGTTTTAGAAACAGCCTTTTCAGTGTCAGTCCATTCAAGCTTCAATTTCGACAAATGATGCAAAAAGTTTGGTTACACTACTTTAACGTGCCACTGTAAAAAATGACCGTGAATTTAACGGTAAAAGACTGTAAAAATGCTACAGTAAAAACCTGTTAAATGGTAAACGGTAAATTCCCCTACTATATACGGTGAAAAACTGTATTGGACATTACATGTATTGGACATATATTTTACAGTAGTATACCGTTTTTGGAAGTGAAAAGACCGTATAATTTACAGTGAATAACCATAAATTGACATTCCAAGAATTCCCTGCGTTACATTTCAAATTTGATGTTTTTTAGTTGAAATAACTATATTTCTTCTTAGATTTTTCTTATCAGTTTTGTATATTAGGGTTGTGTGTTACACCTAATGTTGTTAAATTAATGTGTATTGCATTATTTCAGTTTCATGTGTGTTACCGTGATGGTGTTTAGTGTTTGTGTGAATGACACTGTGCACCTTCTATATATGTTATTATCTAAAAGCTGCTTGTGATGGGCTTTGGTTCATCATGTGACTTTCTCATCACCACCTGCATTTGGTGGTTATCAGTGTATTACAAAGGTACAAAACAGATTTCAGTACTTCAATAGGTTGGTATATTAACATTTTATCAGTTAATGAAATTACGGTATTTAACTGTAAATTTAAGTTAAAACCGTAAAACCTAAAACGTTGCTACCGTATTTTTTACGGTAAAATTCCGGCAACCACAGCTGCCGTTTTTTTACCGTAAATTTTACGGAATTTTTTTTACAGTGTGTCTTTGTTACAGTGTAATTATACATTTAAGTACTGAGTAATATCAATTAACTACATGTACTTACTATATGGTTAGGGTTAGGATTAGGGTAGTCTCAGCCCACGGAACGTCTGATGCATACGGGACACAAAAGTGGAAACACTTCTGGAGTTTCGAAGTCGTCATCGGATTGGTTGAATTATACAGGATTTCCCGGGAGACGTGTGTGTCGCGTTCTATAACGTTCCGCCTGGAAACAAAGATGGCGTGACGCCAAACCCCTTCACGAAAGAAGAACGCCGTCGTGTTTACAACTGTGATGATGAGCGCTTATCACGATCAACTAAACTTTTCAAAAGTATGTGAATAATTTAGTTCGCGGCACAGAATCTTTCAAATACATCCGAAAGTTTCCACACCCCGAAGCGTGACTCTGAAACAAAACGAACTGTGATTGGTTGTTTGACATGTCGGTCAAACGGCCTCATGGACGGGCCTTGGCCAATGAAAGCTGCCATGGATTCCAGACCTTTAGTCGTCAATCTGAAGGTCTGGCTACGCGAGACTAGGATTAGGGTTACTTGCATGTAATTATGTATATTTTATTGTTATTAGAATAGTAAGTACATGTAACGTGTAACAAGAACACCTTAAAATAAAGTGTTACCAAAAGTTTCATTGTATGGAAAAGAGCAGTTTGGACATTCTGCTAAACATCTCTTTCTTTCTTTTTTCTTTTTTTGCATTTCACAGAAGAAATTAAGTACGAGTGAGTAGCCACTGTGTTTTACTTTCTTTTTTTTTGCCAAAGCTTTACTTTAAAGTGCATTTATATTATGATGTTTTAATTATTTGATACTGAATTTAGAGGTAATATATTTTAAATGTACCAAACTGCATCTTTATCATTAAAAATGTGTAATTACAATATATTTAAATACATGGTATACAGTATTTATACAGTATTTAGTTTCAATATAAATTATTAAATGGAAGACGTTTGGGATGATCAGAACCCTTCCTAGAGCTGGCCGTCCGGCCAAACTGAGCTATCGGGGGGGAAGAGCCTTGGTGAGAGAGGTAAAGAAGAACCCAAAGATCACTGTGGCTGAGCTCCAGAGATGCAGTTGGGAGATGGGAGAAAGTTGTAGAAAGTCAACCATCACTGCAGCCCTCCACCAGTCGGGGCTTTATGGCAGAGTGGCCCGACGGAAGCCTCTCCTCAGTGCAAGACACATGAAAGCCTGCATGGAGTTTGCTAAAAAACACCTGAATAAGATTCTCTGGTCTGATGAGACCCAGATAGAACTTTTTGGCCTTAATTCTAAGCGGTATGTGTGGAGAAAACCAGGCACTGCTCATCACCTGTCCAATACAGTCCCAACAGTGAAGCATGGTGGTGGCAGCATCATGCTGTGGGGGTGTTTTTCAGCTGCAGGGACAGGACGACTGGTTGCAATTGAGGGAAAGATGAATGCGGCCAAGTACAGGGATATCCTGGACGAAAACCTTCTCCAGAGTGCTCAGGACCTCAGACTGGGCCGAAGGTTTATCTTCCAACAAGACAATGACCCTAAGCACACAGCTAAAATAACGAATGAGTGGCTTCACAACAACTCTGTGACTGTTCTTGAATAGTCCAGCCAGAGCCCTGACTTAAACCCAATTGAGCATCTCTGGAGAGACCTAAAAATGGCTGTTCACCAACGTTTACCATCCAACCTGACCGAACTGGAGAGGATCTGCAAGGAGGGATGGCAGAGGATCCCCAAATCCAGGTGTGACAAACTTGTTGCATCTTTCCCAAAAAGACTCATGGCTGTATTAGATCAAAAGGGTGCTTCTACTAAATACTGAGCAAAGGGTCTGAATACTTAGGACCATGTGATATTTCAGTTTTTCTTTTTTAATAAATCTGCAAAAATGTCAACAATGCTGTGTTTTTCTGTCAATATGGGGTGCTGTGTGTACATTAATGAGGAAAAAAAATTAACTTAAATGATTTTAGCAAATGGCTGCACTATAACAAAGAGTGAAAAATTTAAGGGGGTCTGAATACTTTCCGTACCCACTGTATATATACTGGGATAGTTTATTTAAAAAAAAATTCAAGTATTTTTACACAACTTACACAGTTAGAAGAACTGAATATATGTACTTAATAATAATAATAATAATAATAGAATTCAAACTTTTGGGGTCACTAAGATCATAATTTAAAATAAATTAATACTTTTTTTTAGCATTAAATTGATCAAAAGTGACAATATTGACAATTATAATGCCA